AGTTCTCACTTCCATAAATAATTCTTCCACCTACCAAGTTTCTCTTTAAGCCTCTAATATTCTCACACATTTTTTCCTAAACACAAAAGGTCTTATTTCCAACAAAGTGGCATCAGAGCTTGAAGGTCCTCAAAAGATGGCGAATGGAGGTTTCCCTTTTCAAATTCCGATACTCACAAAGAACAACTATGACAATTGGAGTATCAAGATGAAGGCGCTACTAGGAGCTCAAGATGTGTGGGATATTGTTGAGAAAGGCTTCAAGGAGCAAGATGAAGCCTCCTTAAACCAAGGTGTAAAGGATACATTAAAGGAGTCAAGAAAGAGAGACAAGAAAGCTCTCTTCCTCATTTATCAATCGGTGGATGAAGATACATTTGAGAAGATCTCCAATGCAACGATGGCGAAAGAAGCATGGGACAAGCTTCAAACTTGCAACAAAGGAGTGGAACAGGTGAAAAAGATTCGTCTTCAAACTCTTAGAGGTGAGTTTGAACGTTTATTTATGGAAGAGTCTGAGTCAATTTCTGATTATTTTTCTCGAGTATTGTCTGTAGTCAATCAACTTAAAAGAAATGGTGAAGATGTTGATGAGGTGAAAGTCATGGAGAAAATACTTCGCACTTTAAATCCAAGTTTTGACTTCATTGTTACCAACATTGAAGAAAATAAGGATTTAAACACCATGACTATTGAGCAACTTATGGGTTCCTTACAAGCATACGAAGAAAAACAAAAGAGAAAAATCAAACAAAAGGAAAATATGGAGCAACTACTACAACTCAATGCAAAAGAAGCAAACTATGCAAATTACAACAGTCAAAGAGGACGAGGTCGTGGCCAAGGTCGTGGACGTGGCCGTGGACGAGGACATGAAGGAGAAAGAAGAGGTAGTTACAACAACTACTCCAACAACTTCAACAATGGAGAAAGAAGTTGGAATCCACAAGCAACAAGAGGTCGTGGAAATGGAAATTCATGGTCAAGATGCAACAAGCTACAAATCAAGTGTTTCAATTGCAACAAAATTGGTCACTATGCATCTGAGTGTAAATTCTCAAAGAAGGTGGTGGAGAGAGCTAATTTTGTAGAAGAAAAAGGTGGAGAAGAAGAAACTTTGCTGCTTGCGTGCCAAAACCAATTTGAAGAGAAAAGAAACAAGTGGTACCTCGACACCGGCGCAAGCAACCACATGTGCGGCGATCGAAGCATGTTCATAGAGATCAATGAAGCGACAACTGGAAATGTCTCATTTGGAGATGACTCAAAGATACCGGTCAAAGGCAAAGGTAAAATTCTCATACGCTTAAAGAATGGGAGTCATCAATTCATATCCAATGTCTACTATGTTCCTAACATGAAAAATAATATTTTGAGCTTGGGAAAATTATTGGAGAAAGGATATGACATCCACTTGAAAGAACATAGTATTTTCTTAAGAGATTGTGGGCATAACTTGATTGCTAAGGTGCCTATGTCAAAGAATAGAATGTTCCTCTTGAACATTAAAAATGATGTGGCAAAGTGTCTCAAGGCTTGCTATACCGACTCTTCATGGCTATGGCATCTACGATTTGGACACCTCAACTTCGGTAGTCTAGAATATTTGTCAAAGAAGGAGATGGTGAGAGGCTTGCCTAGTATAAACCACCCAGACCAACTATGTGAAGGATGTCTAATTGGGAAGCAATTCCGGAAAAGTTTTCCAAAGGAATCAACATCAAGAGCGACAAAACCACTAGAGCTCATACACACTGATGTCTGTGGACCAATCAATCCAAACTCTTTTGGTAAGAATAAATATTTTCTCCTCTTTATTGATGATTATTCTAGAAAAACGTGGGTTTATTTCTTGAAGGAGAAGTCAGAAGTGTTTGAAAACTTTAAGAAGTTCAAAGCCCTTGTGGAGAAAGAAAGTGGTCTTTCTATTAAGGCTATGAGATCTGACCGAGGAGGCGAGTTTACTTCAAATGAGTTCAACAAATATTGTGAAGAGCATGGGATCCGCCGCTTACTAACAGTGCCAAGATCGCCACAACAAAATGGAGTAGTGGAGAGAAAGAATCGGACCATACTTAATATGGTGCGAAGCATGCTTAAGAGTAAGAAGATGCCGAAAGAGTTTTGGGCCGAAGCAGTGGCATGTGCGGTTTACCTGACAAACCGTTCCCCAACAAGAAGTGTGCATGAGAAGACACCACAAGAAGCATGGAGTGGAAGGAAGTCAGGGATCTCTCACCTCAAAGTGTTTGGAAGCATTGCATATACCCACGTTCCAGATGAAAGGAGAACAAAGCTCGATGATAAAAGTGAGAAGTATGTATTCGTAGGTTACGACTCAAGCTCCAAAGGGTACAAGCTCTATAATCCAAATAGCGGAAAGATTGTCATAAGTCGTGACGTGGAGTTCGAAGAAGAAAATTGTTGGGATTGGAGTGTTCAAGAAGACAGGTATGATTTTCTTCCTTATTTTGAAGAAGAAGAAGATGAAATGGAACAACCAATGATATATGAACATATTACACCACCTACCTCACCGACACCAAGGTTGGATGAAACAAGCTCAAGTGAGAGGACACCATGATTAAGGAGCATTGAAGAACTTTATGAGGTAACCGAAAACCAAAATGACATTAACCTCTTTTGTCTTTTTGGTGATTGCGAACCTCTAAGCTATCAAGAAGCTGTTGAAAATGTAAAGTGGAGAGACGCCATGGATGAAGAAATAAAGTCAATCACGAAGAATGATACGTGGGAAATTACTACACTTCCACGAGGACACAAAGCAATCGGAGTAAGATGGGTGTACAAGGCGAAGAAGAATGCAAAAGGAGACGTGGAGAGATACAAAGCAAGACTGGTGGCAAAAGGCTATAGTCAAAGACAAGGATATGACTATGATGAGGTATTTGCCCCCGTTGCTCGTCTTGAAACTATTAGACTGATCATTTCTTTGGCAGCCCAGAATGAATGGAAGATCTATCAAATGGATGTGAAGTCGGCCTTCTTGAATGGTTTTCTCGAAGAAGAAGTTTATATCGAGCAACCACAAGGATATAAAGTAAAAGGGCAAGAAGAAAAAGTCCTCAAGTTGAAAAAGGCGTTGTACGGACTCAAGCAAGCTCCGAGAGCTTGGAATGATCGAATCGACAAGTACTTTCGAGACAAGAATTTCATCAAGTGTCCATATGAGCATGCACTCTATATTAAAGCGCAAAGTGGAAATATTTTGATTGTGTGCTTGTATGTTGATGACTTGATCTTCACTGGGAACAATCTAAGCATGTTCGAAGAGTTCAAGAAAGACATGTCAAATGAATTTGAGATGACAGATATGGGGCTCATGGCATATTATCTTGGCATTGAAGTAAAGCAAGAAGACAAAGGAATTTTTATCACCCAAGAAGGCTATGCAAAAGAAGTCCTTAAGAAGTTTAAGATGGATGATGTCAATCCGGTTGGCACCCCGATGGAATGTGGAAGCAAGTTGAGTAAGCATGAAAATGGAGAGATTGTGGATCCAACTCTTTACAAAAGTTTGGTTGAAATTCTACGCTACTTGACAAGTACAAGGCCGGATATTCTCTATGCTGTAGGAGTCGTAAGTCGTTACATGCAAGCTCCAACAACAACTCACTTCAAGGCGGCAAAGAGAATCCTTCGATATATCAAAGGTACAACAAACTTTGGCTTACACTATTACTTTTCTAACAATCATGAAATTGTTGGCTATAGTGATAGCGATTGGAGTGGAGACGTGGACGATAGAAAGAGCACTACTGGTTTTGTATTCTTTATGGGAGATACTGCTTTCACTTGGATGTCAAAGAAACAACCTATCGTCACACTGTCAACTTGTGAAGCTGAATATGTTGCCGCTACATCATGTGTTTGTCATGCAGTTTGGCTAAGGAACTTGTTGAAAGAGTTAAAAATGCCACAAGAAGATCCTATGGAAATATGTGTTGACAATAAATCAGCATTTGCTTTGGCAAAGAATCCTGTGTTTCATGAAAGAAGTAAACACATCGACACCCGTTACCACTTTATAAGAGAATGCATCGAGAAGAAGGATGTGAAGTTGAAGTATGTGATGTCTCGAGATCAAGCTGCCGACATTTTCACCAAGCCACTCAAGTTGGAAACGTTCATAAAGCTAAGGAGTATGCTTGGAGTCACAAATCAAGTTTAAGGGGATGTTGAAAATAAAATTAAACTTGATTTGGGCCTAAAAATATTATTTGGACTTTTGGGCTTAGTTGTTTTGGACTTAAGTAATTTTAATTAATGTTTCTAGAATACTCTTGTAATGTTTGGAGTGTCTAGATATTTCTTATGGTTGTAATACTCTCTAGAGTACTCTTGGAATTTCTAGAGTTGAGAACTCTCTAGAATTAGTGTGTCTAGAGTTCTCCTTAGATTACTATAAATAGAGATGTAATTCTACACTTTTGCATCAAGCAAAATACAAAGTTCTCACTTCCATAAATAATTCTTCCACCTACCAAGTTTCTCTTTAAGCCTCTAATATTCCCACACATTTTTTCCTAAACACAAAAGATCTTATTTCCAACAATAATTTATTACGATTAGGAGGGTTTTGATGTCAAAATACACTTTAATTGTATTACCAAAAGCAATAATTGAATAAGAAAAAATAATTTCTCGACGGGGTAAAGGAATATTTTTACATATAGGATGTAATGAACATCCTCGATTTATATTTGCTCAGAAACTGAAACTGGTAACAGAAAATTGAGTTATCACAGACTTTATTACACAATATACATAAATTCTGCAAAACCTTACGAATCGTAACTATAGAAAGCTATAACTATAAAAGAATATTCTAACCAATTATTCAATACAAAATTCCCATTAGCCTTTGCAAACCTTAGTTTATTTAACCTCTATTTTCCTTGCTTTTCCTCTAGTTTATGAAGCAAACTTCAAAATGTTGTATCTTGCTGCTGCATTCGACATTTTACACCTCTACAAAGCTATGAAGTAGAAGCTGGAGTAGGAGCAACACCGCCAGTGGTTGGTCTGATAAAAAGAAAACCAATTTTCAGTTCCGTAATCCAATCAAATTTGAAAACTTGTGATAAACCAGAACCAATAAGCATAATTGTTAAAACTTACAGTCCCACAGAAACTTTGAATGCATCATAAATTCCCCATTGAGCACCAGTTAGAGTTCCCACCATAAGAATCCGAAGAGGGAGACCACGTGTACACATACCCCATAATCCCAACTTCTTTACCGCCTGCATTACAAAGTATAGTCAATAACAATGAACGACACGAACACAGACACACTATTTTTCAGAGTTGTCAGGGCTACATAAATATAAAGAGTGTGACACTCACGTCAGCAGCCGTCGCCCCTTTGGAGCTGTTTAGGAAAGATACAAGATTATCTGCGGGATGAGACACGACTGCACACAATATTCCAGCTAAATATCCTCCCACAACACTCACACCAAGTTGTAGGGTTTTGGTGCAATCTTCCTTTGGTGTGGGGATGGCATGCTTGTAGATCATCTCAACAATGTTTTCATAAGAAGCAAACTTCATCATTGTATCTGCAACAAACAACATTACATTATATTTCCTTCATTATTTCTTTGTTCAAAATTGAATCTGTCAAAGAAGTATTATCAGGAGGAAACTTACATGGAACCTGTCTTCCCCAAAGCGGCACAACTCCCTTGTACAACCTGAAATCGTTGTCGTTGTCGTTTTAAGATTGTATATACATATCAAGAAATATAATAAAGATTTTATTAGCGTACATACCCTGAAACTCCTTCGGATCGGATCAGTTTGGGTAAGCCATCAGAAAAGCCTCTAGCGAAACCGGGTTGAGTTTGAACTCTAACCTTAATTGCTTCAAATGGACAAAGTGCAACATCGGCAATAACCTCAGAAGATGCTGCTCCAGCAAGGTAAATTAATGTCTTGTACTTTGTAGCATATTCTGGACCAACAACATCTGAATAGTACTTCTTGAAATATTCATAGAATCCATATTTGAAAGCACCTTGTGCACTATAACCAATAAATGTAGGCGCCCATCCTCTGAAAAATCCTCTAAATCCTTGTTCCTTGAGCATCACGCCAAATCCAGACGAGATGCTTTTGTATTTGGTAGGATCAATCTGAAAATTTTGTAACATTTATTTTACGCCATGTTTCGATAAACAACTTAAGTAAGTGTTCATTAAAAAGGGATTAAAAAGGGACCAACCTGCATGTTACATTTGACAAGATCAAGAGGTGTAACTGCCATGTGAGTGAAGCCACAACATATGCTTCCACCAACGGCGCAAGCAAGATAGTAATCACGAGAGAACATCTTTATGTTCCTTTTCCCAGTTTCGCTGGGAGAAGGAATCATAAACTTTGAAGTATCTGTCGCAACATGGTGATACGTGGAGACATCGTCCACGATCTTCTTCTGCGGCAACGAGGTAGAGGAGTAAAGGAAGCTAGGTAAGAGAGAATGGTCCATGAAGAAAAATAATGAGAAGATACAAAGTATGAATTAGTTTGGAAGAAAGCAAAGAGATAGAATAGAACTTTGTTTATTTTTTTCTCCCAATTCCTTGGATACTATGTTGGAGCCAAATTGGTTTCTTCTTTCCTTTAGGATTTTATATATAAATATGTGAGATGGAAAAGTAAAGCAAACATAATTTGAAATAGTTTGGTATTTTGAATCTTCTTGGGTCATGGCGGCTTTGACAATTTTCTTTATGACAGAAACATGTGATTTGTGTAATTTCCTCAAAATTTCTCCTAACATATATTTGCCTAAAAGTGATAATAAAATACAATGCTTTATGTTACATGAAAATATTTAAAATAAATTTTATATCAAATTTATATTTAGGGTAGAATTATTCAAACATGAATTATTTTTATTCAAATTTAATTGAATAAATTTGATCAAATCTATAAAATTTCATTTAAAACCCAATACAACACTTGTCCAAACAGACAAATAAATCCAATTATAGAATGAAATTATTCTGAAAGACTTGACTATTGTTTGTAGATCAAGCAATAATAATAATAATAATAATAATAACAATAATAATAATAATAATAATAATAATAATCTAGAAAAGAGAAATTGATATTTTTTTAAAGAAAAGAATCACATGTCAACCGTTCAATTGTGTTGCATTGAATACGTAAGTCGATATGTCATCAAATATTTGGTGGTTGGCATTTCTTGAGTTATTAAAAGAACAATATTTACCAAACACGTCTCTTTCAACTTTGAACCATCTATTTAGCCACTTTAACTTTTGCTCATCTATTCAACCATTCGAATTTTCTTAAGTTTGGTTTTGACTAGAAATTTCATAATGTGAATAATAAAACCATAATAGTTAGTCAATGGAGAAGCTAGTCTTGATCGATGTAAGTCTGTCAATAAGGGTGAAAATATGTTCAATAGAGGTCTATAATCTAATCAGATTAGCTCTACTTAGCTCAACTTTTTAGATGTTTAATTTGATTTGGTGTCGGACAAAAGTCTAAATAGTCTCAATTTTTTTGCAAATTCATTCTACTTGATCTAATATATAAAAGTCAGTATACTCAAAAAATAAGGTATTTTTTTTTCCACAATACTTGAATTTTAAACTGACTTGGACGTTGAAGGGTTAATCATATAAGTCCACCCTGCGCCGTCGTAACATAGATTAACACCATCAATTGAAGAGATTTAGTTCACCAATTACATTCATTTTTGGTTTCTGAATGAAACAGTGACGACGTCTATGAGAACCGACTTCTGATTCCTATGATTTTCACGATTTCACATTCAATTTCCAATTTACAAGTTCGTAATCTCCTCAGACCATTGAATCAAGAGCATTCAGAATTAAACGAGGAGATCTGATGCGTTTAGTTCAATCTGTTAGCGTTTCAACTACGATTAATCTGATTTGTAGATCTCGAATTCCTTCGAGAACTCCGCGAAGCAAGAAAATAAATGACCCTAGATCCAAATCCAAAGCTATACTAAAATTACCAGAGAGTGATACTCATCATAGCGACGTCGAAGATACTACAAGTTCATAGTTAATGACTGACGTAGATCCAGTATTAGAGTTTCTCTTATAGGTACCAGAGGATCTCAGACCGCTGAACATAGATCTCGTCAGGCCAGATCCAGCAGGTCGAGGTTCCATCGCAAAATAATTCGCGGTCGCGCAGGCCGTTTCTACTGCATTTTCCCCATACTTAAGTCATAATAGAAAGTTAAATTGAAAAATATGTTGTATTCATATTGTTTTTTATGACACATGATGTCTCACCTTGAAAAATAAGAACACGACCTCTGTCACTACGCGAAAAATGCACAGAGTTGCCACCGGACTTTATTTATTCCGAAGAAAGGGAAAATATCGATAAAACTCCCTAAAGGTGTAGAAAATGGTCTTGCAGCCAAATTTGGGTTCGGAAGTCGATTATGCAAGGGGAAGGTATTAACACCACTCACATCCATCGTACTCAATGGGAATCATCTAGGTTGCCTAAGCGTGAATGGGTGCCATATATCTAAAGGTTACCTGCTAAAGGGGAAATAGGGAGTTTTAAATTTGTGTGCTCGCCTTGGTTTTGAAACCTTGTGCCTACGTATCTCCATTGTGAAATGAAAAATCAGAGCTTCCGTAGTTCGTGGTAAAAAATGATTGTGTGTTGGTTGATTTTACCTTGAAAAAGAGTTTTCAGAGTGATGCCCTAAGGCAAAAAGAGAATTTGATGAGTTGATTTTGATTTTAGGATTTTTTTAGAAGAGTTGTTTTTATTAGGATAGCACTAAAGACTATTGGTAGAGGCGAGCACCTTAGACTACCAAGCCAAGCATCTTATGTCAAAGTACTCTGAGTGAGGGCAAGAAAGCTCCACTCTTACCCCTGTCCACCACTTAAGGCTCGTGGCTTGCAATCCCAATCATTTTTTTATTGTGTTTTTGAATTTGTTAAGAAAATGGATAAGAAGACTTGGCATTTGACCAAGTAAGGATTGTTTTGAAAGGTGATATATGTGATAAGAAAGAGAGGTGATGTATGGAAGATGGGAATCGGTGGAGGTTGATGGCGACGCGCAATGCGATCGACTTACAAGGGTGTGAGAGGTCATGGAATCATAGGATATGGTGAGATAAAATTCAATTAATGATTTTGAAAATGGTCTGACATTGAATCAAGCATTATTTTGTCTTATTTTTGAAATTGTTTTCTAAGCGCTTTGTTTATCCTTTTTTTTAACATACAAGCATGCAAGTATAAAGCACTAAATAATGTAAAAATTATGAGGTATTACACTTTAATGGGAATGGGGGACATTTTTCCCATAATGGAGAGATGGCATATGAAAGGGAATAACAAAATAAAAGTACAATAAAAAGGGAAATATGAGTTGAATTCCATGATATGATCCAAATCCTCAAAGTGGTACCTCACAATAAAGGAGAAATAGTTAACAAAATGGATGCAATGTGATGTATCAAATGGAGAATAGAAACTGAGCATAAAAATAATCAATCAATATCAAATAAAAAGCACAAGTAAAAACCCTAAAAAATAAGCAAACAAGGTGGATTAGAATTATTTCAAAGTGTTAATGTTGATTATGTTAAGCCCATTGTCCAAATAATCTAAAGAATCCTCCAATGCAAAGGGTTAACCAATTAGTCCATAGTCCGAAATTCCAAAGTAAAGGTTTAAACCATTAGTCCATAGTCCAAAACTCCAAAGCAAATATTTAAACTATTAGTCCATAATCCAAAACTCCAAAGCAAGGGTCAAATGGTCCATGATTCTTAAAGTCTTAATAATTATCTTTTAGGTTAATTATGATTCATTTGGTCAAGATTAAAGAAAGAAGATAAGTGAATTTCCAATCTAAATTAAACAAGAATTAAACCAAGTTCAACAAGAAAGTCAATCAAAATTCAACTAAAAATAATCAACAAGAAGAATTATTAAAACTTTAACAAGTACTTCAATTAAATCCTAACAATAAATTTCAATCCAAAATTCAACCAAAATGAATCAAAGGAACTCTTATCTACAATTAACAAAAAAATTTAATCAATAGTTAAAAAAAAAATAAAGAACTCAGAGGAGGTGCATAAGTGATATTGGATGCAAAAAATGAGCAAATTGGGCTAAGCTCAACTCTGAACCCAAGATTGCCAACAAATAATGCATGTGGGTTCGAAGAGGCATGAGGGGTGCGCATAGTAAGACTATGGGACTAGGAGCCCAATACAATCAATGATGAAGCCAAGCCATGTGAAAAACAAGCTCGATGCGAAAAACTCACTAGAATTCTAGCTTTTATCTCTCCCCCCTCCCTGTCTCTCTCTCTCTCTCAGTCCATCACATACTTTTTCTCTCAACCTATCGCTACTTTCCTTCTCACAAATCCATAGTATAACGCTTCAAATCATAAATCACACAACATGAATCTTCTCCAAAAACGTGCCACGCTTCTAAATTCATCATCAATCATACCTAGTTCTTGCTCTAATGCTCGAACCGGCAACAATTACAAAACAGTCAATATAGTCAAAATCGAAAGAGAAAGAATCTTTTACCTGTAACGATGAAGAAACTCAGGTATGATCTGAACTCTATTTGATTCCTCTTCTCTTCCTCTCCGCTGCTTCGAATACGCATGTTAATTTTAAGTTGTGAACTTTTCCATGATAAGTAATGTTTTGACTTATGCATAATCTTACTTGTTTAACATGATTCACCATAATTCACATGTTGTTATTACACATGTCACACCCTTATTCAAGGATGTTTTATTGTTACCTACCTTGATTTGTATCCATGTTTAAATTTTGTTATGATTTATGCATGTTGATCTTTGAACTTGACCATGCCTTAAGTAATGCTTTGACTTATGCATGATTCTACTTTATTTGTATCCATGCCTTAAATACTGTTATGATTTATGCATGTTGATCTTTGAACTTGACCATGCCTTGAGTAATGTTTTGACTTATGCATGATTCCACTTTATTTGTATCCATGCCTTAAATATTTTTATGATTTATGCATGTTGATCGTTGTGAACTTTTCCATGATAAGTAATGTTTTGACTTATGCATGATTGTTTATACTTCAAATTTCCATCAATGATGTTTGGTCTTGTAAGAACCTTATTTCATAGCAATTTAGATGTTGTAACATCTATGTTTACATTTGATTGTAACCATTTAGTTTGATTTTTTTATGGATGAATACTTGGTTGTAACCTTGTCATTATCTTTGCTTAATGTTGTCACATGCTTACCTCTATCTTCCTTGGTTGTTACTATGATTTTTACATCTTCATCATGTTTAAATGAATGTATGTGTATGCTTATGTCTTGATAATTTCCCCAAGTGATGTATCTTGTTAGCTCTCATCCTAAAGAGTTTCCTTGTGTACCTAAGTCCAAAGAAAAGTCTCTCTATTGACTCAATGTCATAGATA